TGGTTTTCGAGAAATTTCGAAAGTTGTATGGGAGGGTTGGGGGTTGGCGTTCAGCGGGCCTGTTTCTCGGTGAGGGGGTTAGGCTCTCTTGTCCGGATGTCCGATTTAGTTTAGCCGATTGCGGACGAGCATCGTGATGGTGCGTTTCGATAGAATCGATTGCAGAATTTCCCCTTCGAACAAACACAGATATTTCGATAAGTAGCACAGCGCGAACGGGAACTGGCGCAGCTGGAGGGGGTGGCACGGAACAGCAAAAATGGCACCTCTATTTTGCGCCCATCCTGAGAGGGAATTTCTCCTACGGGGACGCCAAGCCACCTAGAGGCGAAGCCAGCAGATGGGTGTAAGCCAGATTTTCCGCGATCTATGTGTTGAAAAGTTCCAGGGCCATTCAGAACTGGGTCCTCGGGGAGTCGTTGGGGCTCTGGAATTCGGCTAATCCGAGAGGCACGGGGCAGGGTTTTGCGCCTTAAATTTGTCTTTTCCAAGAACACAGTGACCCCGTGCGATTAAGAAGCAGCTCATTCTTCGGAGTGGCCATTCGCCGTCCGTGGGACCTTCTTCCAGTAACTGCTTAGGGTCAGTCATGAACGCGATGCTCTGGACATTAATGTTACTTACTATCTTTTTTTGTACTGCAAACAAGTGGTACAACTTTTTAGTCGTCTAAGGGGGAGGGGGAAGGGTCACTTGACCTGTTCCACTAGCGGGGCGTCCGAATTCGGGGTCATTTTGCTTTGTGAATCAAAAAGACGGCGACGGTTGACCTCTAAGTGTTCAATGTGACCCTAGTAATTCGTGATATCAGTGTCCCAAGAAGTACTTTAAACAGTCTTTGGAACTAGGGCGGAACGGCTGCAAGGTCAGTGAGGAGGGCAGAAAGGGGGGATGGAGGTACTCCTGTAGTATATGGTACGAAAAAGATGCACGGTAGGGGGCCTGTTGGGAAGAGATGAAGTGATGTTTGCACACTGATTGCAGCGTGAGATGGCAGGAAGACGCGACTGCCGCATATTTGTTGGTAACTTACCGTGCGATGTGAAGCAACGAGATTTGGAAGATATTTTCTACAAATATGGACGCATCAACTTCGTCGACATCAAATTCACCCGCGAGGTGCCGTTCGCTTTCGTGGACTTCGATGATCCAAGGTAGTAAACACATCATTGCGCATTTATGCAAACACAGCAAAAACACAATTGTCGGTGTGTGTGTGTGTGTGTGTGTGTGTGTGTGTGTGTGTGTGTGTGTGT